ACATCAAGTACAGCTGATGCAACAGCACAACCAATAGGATTTCCACCATATGTATTAAAATAATTTCCAACAGTTTTAGCTATTTCAGGTCGAGTTACAATAGCAGCAAAAGGAAATCCATTAGCTATTGCTTTAGCCATAACAACTAAAATAAAATTAATGTTAAATAAATTTCATATTAATATCTCATTTTTTACCAATATCAGGTTTAGCTCCATGTCCTTGATAACCCCAAAAATGAGTTCCTGTACGACCAAATCCACTTTGAACCTAAATTGATAACATTTACAAAAACAAATAAGTTCTTTCTTTCATTTTGAACAAACTTCATCAGCAATATATAATCCACCATTTTGTTGTACAAGTTCTGTTGCTTGTTTAACATAATTCTTTGGATATTGTACTGAACCACCATATCCCTAAATAGATTTATTTATTTATTTATTTCTTATCATTCGAAAAATAGATAAAATAAACCTGAATTGATTCAATAAACATTCCAGCTACTTTCTTTTTCGAAACTTCATAATTAAGTATTTCTTCTAATTGTTCAACATATCGATCTGATGCTTGACAATGATCTTTTTGACAATTACATGAACGAGTAGTTTGAATTGGTGAATCTCGACAATATTGACCACCCCATATACCACGATATGGATCAGGATTCATAGCAACTCGACTTCCAGTTAAATATATTCGTTTAGATCTAATCAAAAGAAAAAAGCTGTTAGCGCAATCCCTGCGAGATTAAAATGTGAAACACGATGTAGCTGTTGTTGCCAATTTTATAAAATCTGTTCTTTTTATATGCATATTGGGGCACATTTCTTCATCATGGCTTACTTTACATTATAGAGCTTCAACAGGACAATACTCCATATATGTTCCAATTATATGTTAGTTATACATTATCTCTGATACTTCTATAAACTCTTCTATCCCAGTCTATGATGATCCCTGGAACATGTCTGTCACGGTGTGTTGGGGGAGGGGCTTTCAAAATTTCTACACTATATACTTCAACACTCCTTTCAGATCGTGTTTCACAAAAATAAATTTTATAAAAGGTAGAAGTAAACAATTCACTTTACACTGTAACATTTGTTAAGCTTAAGGTTGATTGAACAACACCGTGATAAGAGTTTCTATTTAGAAAAGAAATTTAAATCTATTAATTGGATTCCTTTTTTTTGGTTTTGACCTGAGTGTGATAACTTCATGCTGTTTAGTATATTCTTTAGCTAAATGTAATGCTAAATCATTTGCTTCGGAACCACTATTTACAAATAAGCAAACCTACAAAAGCAAGCACGAAAAATTCTTCTTGCTATTGATTAGAATGATTTCTTACCGATAAATGTTTATCATCTTTGAAATTTTCTAATAACTTTTCAGCATAATCACGCACAGGATCTTGTAAATAATATGTTGATACATGCCAATATTTTTTCATTTGTTTCGTTGCGGCTTCAATCAATCGTGGATGACAATGACCAACACCAACAGTAACTATACCAGCAAAAAAATCTAAATAACGTTTTCCACTTGTATCATAAATAAATTGACGTTCAGCACGAGCAACATGTAAATGTTCTTTATATTGAAGAAAAGGAAATGAAAGATGTTGAGAAAAAAATTCGTCAATTGATTGTTTATTTGTCGACGCTTGTCGAATTATCTATTTGCAGATGGTCTGATTCTGTAAAAATTTCAATAAATAATTTCTAAATACCTGTTTAGAAGAGGAATAAACCGATCGAAGCAACATTTTTCTTTAATAAATGTTTTTATTTGAGTAGAACATGTAAAAACAAAGGTATTATGGTATTGTGAAGAAAGAGAAAAGATAAGATAACTGATGTATGAAGCCAGCAAACATAAAGAGCTGTTGTCCTTCATTTCTAAATAGGCTATCTCAAGTCTACAGATTAATCTGAGTTATCATCGGCATTACATCATTTTCAAATATTTGAATTCAGATGAAATCGGTGATATGAACACTTTGAACTATTGATTACTTCTTTCTCGATTAGTTTATCTAGCGATTTGTTGCATTATATGCAAATTTTAATTAGAATAATTTCTAACTGTTATGTAATAAAAATGTAAATGACTAGTACACTTAATGTTAAAGCTAATGTCAAAAGTATACGATGAGAATGAAGGAGTAAACTTCGTCCGAATATCTTTCACTGACTAAAAGAAGATCGAAATAATCTTCCAATATGTTCCATATGTTTTGAGTACCCAATAATAGATTATTTTTCTATTGTATAGATAATTTTGAAAATATTTTCTTGCTGATTTGAAAAGCTAACCAAGAGAATTTTTCTTGTTGGTTTTTTTGTCTTTATTTGATTAGTGAGAAAGCAAATAGTTCATTACTAATCTATCTAAATAGAATCATATGATAGAGCTAAATTCATATCGAAATATCTTGATCAAATGCAAATACTCGTGAAAGCGCCTTTTTTGACATTTATCATCAAAAATATGTATGTGTAGGTGGAGTTATTAGCATCTAGAAACTTTTGTATTGAGAAGTCTCTTCCTAATTAGTATACGAGATGTATAATTTTTTTTTTGTGGCAAATCAATGTTTAAAGACAAATTACTGTTAGAAGAAAAATAATAATATCAGGTAAAAGTTTGTTTTCATAGATAACGACAAATAAATAATTCTTCCATTTCGTCATTGACATCTATTTTCCTATTACTAAGAGATGAAATGCTTTTCTAACTGAGCACTTTTATAATCATACAAATGTCTTTATTTCTAGAGAAAAATCTATCTTTTAAATACATGAACAAGCAGTGTACAAAAAAGTAACATATATGTAGGTCATCAGACGTGTTTCTTTTCTTTTCCACGAATATTATTCACTAGGCTTGTCTATTGTCGATTAAGTTGTCGAATAACTGTGAATGAGAGAAACTCATCTTGTAACGTACGTGGGTCCCCATGTTAAGAACATGGTGTTCTTCTGAAAGAGTTTGTTTACACCATTAAAATGAATTTTTGTCTCAGTTTGTTTGAATGACTTAACTCTTTTTTCAATTAATCCTCATTTTACTATTTAATCTCACGTAGGCTTCACCTATCATACTATACTTGAATTCTTGGTTTGCATCATTTATTTATGTCGTATTTGTATTCATATTCCATAGCTCATTTCAGAAAAACTTGCAATCTTATAACCATAAAATGAATCCTCTCCTGATCGTCACATTATACGGGAAACGTACTGATCAAATCAGCTTGTCATTTAAATGAATTTGTCTCCAAGCCATTGATATAGCAAAAAAGCAACGGATGTTGTGAGATGATATAGATCAGTAATCTTGTGTATCAGATACAAAATAGGCTGCATACGATCATTTTTTAGCTAGAATAGCGGTCGAATCATTATATAATCAACTTTTTAGTTATGATCATCTAATAAGTTTTAGAGCGAATAGATCATTCATCGTCTACCGAAGTCTACAACCACATATGTATCAATCACCAAATTACATACAGAATTAACATTTCTCTCTATGTTCGGAGATAATATGATGTATCCAAGGGGAGGGAGCGGCGCTCTCCCATCCGAGGTTTTTTGCCTCCCCCCCCCCCCCCCCCCCCCCCCCCCCCAGGACAAGTACTAAATAAATATACAGAGAATCTTTGAAGGCAATAGGGCACCGACTCGCAAAATGGGGTTTTCCTACACTCCCCCCACCGACGATTTTCTGGTTACGTCACTACTCGGTGAGAAAGTCAATCTTAAACAATTCTGAGCCGCAAGATAAATATCAGGTGCTAAATATCGACTTTATAGGACATTTGAGATTTCTAAGGGTTGGGAAGCAATGATTGGGTGTATTCCAGTTAGACATATTCTCGTACTCATTACTGTAATAAGCTTACTAATCTGGTATAAGAATATGACAACGCAGAAACTTGAGAAGCAGTACTAAAACGATGAATTGGACAGAAAAACTGATGTATTTCAATTGCATTGGCTGCAATGAACATTTTCATCAATTGAATTCGGTGCTTTTGATGAAAAACTAAATTCATTGCATTCATTCGAATGACATCTTTGTCTTAAGCGATGAAGTTGAGATGCATCAATATCTATATGTCCATTTTAATCATTCTTACTCAGGTTGAACAATATGATGCGTTTACCTGCCGTATTGGATAAATTTACGGTAAAAATATGGATATCTGTATCCGTCGACCTAGGTACCCAGGGAATAGAAAAATGAAAAATGCCATTTTTTACATGAAAGTCACCATTGTTTTTCATTCTTTATTACATGGGTATCTCATTACTACAACTATACGTAGCCATTTCGAGATGAATATAATTGCATTAATCACCATATTTTACGTAGTCACAGGGCGTATGAACCCATGAATAGAACTATATGCATAAAGTGTTTTCTGGTATCTCTGTTCAAGATCATTTACGTAATACATATATGAAACAGACAAGAATAAAACAATTGAAGAGCCAAATAAACATAGGATAGTCATCTAGCCCTGAGTTAACTCTATAAGATTCTCTTATTTCAGATATTCGTCAGATCACCCTTAGTTTTTAAGTGATTTTTTATCATATCGAAAAAAATTTAAAAAATAGAAACACTATGTTGCATCGCTTTTTACGTAAACCGAAATCTTATTGAAAATACTTGCATAAAATGAACAACAAAGACATCATGAACGTCATCTGATTGTGCTGGAATCCAATAAACTATTCTTAATTCATTTATCAAGTTTTAAAACCATTATATTTACCTCTTATATTATTCTAGCGTGGCTGATGACAGCAATATATCGAGCTCTATCCGCTAAATAGGTTTTTATTGGAAAACGCTCTAACTGGGACCATATATATATCTCTAATGAATTTGTTCTCTCCGCATGAATTCCTTTAACGTTTGTTTGTAAATGACTTAAGTTATTATTTCATTAGTGGATTAACGATATTATCCACACATAAAAAGTGTCTGTGCGCCATCTGTAGGATAAATATATAGATTAACTGTATTCATATTTTATCCTATCAAAATTAAGTAAATCAAGTTAATTGAATTGATCCAATTAATATTCTTATTGGAAGACCAACGTAAGATGTGTATATATATCATAGTTGTACGTTGTGGATGTGTGGTTGTAGCTTTGAGTGAGGATATCAATGCAGACGAAGTGAAAGTATCGTTTTTCTGAGCCTAATTTCTTAATCCGATATATTTAGTAGGTTTCTTATGGGCTCGATGTTGACTAGCTGAGAATGTGGCTAATAGGGAGATATCCCATTCGCTTCAACATATTAAAGTAGATACAAAATTGTCAAAAATCTATCGTCTTATTATAGGATATTTTTGTGTTTCAAAATCTAATAGTATCTTTTGGATATTTGAACCTAGAATTATGGTAATTGTTCTAGTGAGTAGTAAGTGCATTTTTCAGTGACATAATTGTTTTTCAATTAAATAAGTTATTAGACAAAGAGCGTAATAAGTGCATTTTACTTCACACGAATCACATGTCGATTGCTTCAAGTCAATAAAATGGTAAGACGGTCACGAAATTTTTCATATTATTGCCTGGAAAAGGAATATGAAATGAATTTTCTACTTCACATATTCTTAAAAAAAGCGGATACTAAGCTGAAATTGAATGATTTATTTCGAAGATCAATAGTAACGATGTTCATCATCAGCACTTATAAACTGAAAGTAAATCGAGTGCCGTATAAAGGTGAAAATGGGTGTGGGTGTGAGACTTGTTGTGACGGTGTTTTTTTCTAACTTTAAGCAAAATATTTCGAAGACAGAAAGTTAGCTGATGAAGCATTAGTTTCGTCACTGAAAATGACTTCATGTTATTATCTTTGCCGGTCATATACATGTTCGTTGAGTGTAAGTGCAGCATACGTTCGCTCTTTCACCACGATTTTAGATCTTTTTTCTATTCGATATTTCGTCTAGTCATCTGTGCATATGAAGAATGGAGAAAAAACAATAGTAAAGACCTCATATACATGTATACAGTGAAACATCCTAATGCCAACACCATTTTGGTATTATCTTAGTAAAATCATTATATCTTTGCTTTCATTCTTTCGTTTGAGCAGAGTTTTGGATTGCGGAATCCGTCAAATGTTACTTTGTCTACTCAAGAGACTTGCATTTGAAATAACTTGAATTTAAATGAAGAGAAGCTGTTACACGAAGACCCACTTATTTTTTCTCGTTCTGTTCACATTCTAATTCCATCACAACAGTTGTTCTTCTTTCCTAACTCCACCATTTCAAACGAAAATATACGTTTCTCGTAAAAAAAAAATTTCGTTTTGAAATTGCCACCATCTTAGTTACAATTCACGTTATTCAATTCGTCACACAATGCTCCATCGATTGATATCCTTCTCACTACTCTTAAATGCAATTTTATCTCTTTTTTTTCTCAGAACGATTAAATTGAAGATGTGATGCGAATAAATCGTGTATCTTAATTCTATCACATCAGTCATTTCTGTTTTCTAGTTTTATCATACAATAGAAAATACATGAGGCATTGTTTATGATCAGAAAAAGATGCTGACACTATACAAAGTACTGAATTTCATCGAACAGCTCATACGAAAAAGGTAACTTAAGTGAAGTCTCATCAGTACGTGCAAATTCGTCAACATTGTTGTAAGTCGTCTCTCAATGCCCGTGCGGTTCGTTCTTTGTACTTAACTTCCGATCGAGAGAGCTACGTCGTCT